CTACTTTCGATGCTATTTGTAGTTGAACTTTTAATCAAAGCACAGTTTTGTGACGTCCAGTCCCTTCACCTTCTGCCAGAAATTGGATCTAAGTGGAAGCATCAGCAAGCATCAGTTCTTCCCTCCCCCACATCGAAACCACTGGGATCAGAGTAACTGATTCGCTGTTGACCTTGAGGTTCTGTCTGCTTCCAAACACAGCCTGGAGTTTCCTGTGACTTTTACCCTAGCAGGAACCATGCCCTTCATTTAGAAAGAGTATTGGTGAGAGTAGGTAGAGTAGGCTATGGATTGTGAACAGGATCCTTTGTTGGGTTGCAGTGAAGTAGCTGGAGTAGGAAAGTAAGGTGCTGGGCTCTGTTCTTTACGTGACGTCCCTTGACTCATTGCCTTTTCTGTCCCTCAGCTTTGTGCTGTGTAAGGGTCCTACTTTGGTGGTAACACATTTTATGTGATGCTAGAAACCACTGCTCACTGTGCCCTTCTCAGATGTGGGATATTTCCAATCATTAATTTCAAAGTAAAGTATTTCTTTTTCTTTTCTTCTTTCCAAAGTAAAATATTTCTTTAGATGAGGTTTTGGTCTACATGTAGAGATAAGAAAGATGACCTGTAAGAACAAGTAACAGGATCATCCAGTCCTGTAGAGCTTGATTTTACTTTTTGGATTGGGATGGCCAATAAGCTGGTTTCGTGGAGCTATGACTTTTCTGTGAAAGTCATCAGATAGAACTTCCTGCGCTAACAGCAATCGAGCAGGGTCTGGAGTAGGGCAGGGAATGCCCCTGAAGCTGCTTAGAAGCCCCAGACTCCTTTCTACAGAACAGATCGTGTTTTCCCCATAATTCGCTGTTCTAGCTTGGCCGTGATCTGTGTCCCTGTCAGTGTGGCCAACAGAGTTTTATTTCTCCTTCCAAAGTCCTCTCTCCTCCAGACTCTGTGCAAAAGAGATGTTTCGGTAAATGTTTAACAGCTAGTTCTCCAAGGGGGAAAAGCCCTGGCTTATCACATTTGCCAATTTCCAGTCGTGTAAACACTACCACCACAGCCAATTTTAAACTATTGCTGTAACGTCACTCAGTATGGAGTTGGGAGCGCATCACTGTGTGATATGTTCGCCAGACAATTATGGTAGATGTAAATAATCTCAAGAGAACAGAAAATAAAAGAGTAGTGAAATAATTAGGAAGTGAGGAGTTTTGAATAGTTGTTACCTTTGTTTTTATTATAACTAATTGTACATTTATATAATTTAATTTTTAGTCATGGCTGTGCTTTGCTTGCAGAATTCCTAAAACATTTAACAACTGGTATACAAACCAACTCTGGCCCACCAGCCTGTCTTGGGCGGGGAGAAGAGTGGGAAAAAGGAGAAACGAAAGGGCATGGTGAGTCCTAAAAGGCCTCTATGCCATTCAGACTTTCTGAGCCTTGGGTCCACGAATTCGTAGAAATAGCGCGAGTTGATATTGGCCTGGACTTTGGAGTTAGACATGTGGGTTCCAGACCCAGCTCTACTATTTGCTGGCTGTGTGACCTTAAACAAGGTCCAAACTCTCTCAGCTTAATTTCTCACCAGTACAATAATGGTACCTGTTTCATAAGGTTGTTATGGGGATGAAATGAGAATAATATATTCAAAGTATTCAACTTACTGTGTCACACAGTAAACCTTCAATAAATGGTAGCCACGAGTCCTGTTACTATTATTAACCTGGCCCATTTCTAAAGTGTCAGAAGTAGCCATGGGTAGTGATGGGATCTATTTCAGATGCAGGTTCATGCAAAGACTGTTAAAGATAGTCTTCTTTGTATGGGCTGACCTCCATTTCAGCATCGACTATTTATGTAGGCACAGCCTCCAGGGGAGGAATGTCCACACCTCCTGAAAAAAAATCATTCTCACAGATGCCTGGAGTTTAAGTACCAGCAACTCATTTCTTGCTGTAGGTGGGGCTCTCTCCCTAGGCCTACTTCTAAAATGCAGATACCCCTTAGAAGCTGAGTCATTAAGTCAGCACCTGGGTGTGAATGAGGTCCTGGGATCCCAGGGCTCTTCACGGGATGGACTCCAGACTCTGGGAAATCTAAGAATGAGGATCCTGGAGTGGGTGGGTGATGCGTTCAAGGACACGGAAGACTCCACAGCCGGTTCCCACGCCCCCTACTCCACCCCCTGCTTCCAGGTTGACCAGTTCTTTAAGCTGAGCTGCCTTTAAAAGCAAATCCCCTCCTGTCTCTCTCTCTCCCCCTGAACCCTCAGGTATCCCAGAACAAAGACCTGGTTGACCCCTGGGACCATAGTCCACTGATGAGGTGGGAACACTGCTGAATATCTGGGGTCAGTCTTCCTTTTTCAAGAACACCAAATTGTAGTCAGTTGGCCGGGTTCTAATCACGGCCCTAACCACTTGATGTGTGACCTTGGGAAGGTCATTTCATGTCTCAGAATCTCTATTATTTCTAGTATATTGAAGATGCCGTTAAGGATTAACCTGAGACTGTAATGCGGGACCATTTTGTGATGCCAGAGCTCACCACCACAGGCTCTTTTGATGCTGTTTTCTCTTCTCCACTCATTGTTTTTGGTTTGCTCTTTTTTCTTCGACTCCTCACAAGTGGCTATGGGGAGAAATGCCTTCTTGGGAGCACCGTTGATGGATGAAAATAAAACATTTCTACCCTTTATTCTAAACATTCCTAAGTACTGAAAATACAAGTTCCTATCTGGGGCTACCCATTCATAATACAGTCTTGTGTGCAATAATAACCAGAAGTTATTCCCCTTTTGGCTCAGGTAATAGCACAACAAGAAGGCAGAGGTGATGTTTGCAGGAATCCTAAGGCCCCTGTGGACTGTAATTATATTCTTGTTGAGGTTTTGTCTGTTGGTTTCTCTGGGGCACCTGTGATGCTACAGAAATGTTTCAGAGTAGCTGAGTATCAGAAACCCGGGGAGGGACTGGGGCTTCTCGAAGTATCAAACTTACAGGCAAGGAGATCTGAGGTTTTGGGGAAGGGCCTGGGGATAAAGGAAGGAACCAAGTGAGCCAGTCTCTCCCAGTGCTGGCCTATAAGCCTCAGCTTGTTCCCAGGCTGTCTGTGTGGTTTGAGGGCAGGGCTGGTGCCCGGGAGGATGTTCTGACAGAGCGAGCAGGTTACAACCCTTTCCTTGGGACTGTGACCTGATGTTTGCCTCAGTCGGTGATGTGATGCTTATTGGCCCCCTCAGGGCTCCAACCTAACAAAAGCTTGGCCCCACGGTCTCAGCGATGGCTGTGTGCCTAGAGGGGGCTGCATTATGAAATCTTCTACTGACCTTCTGGTGTTTGGGGTGTCGGTTGGCAGCACAGTTGGCTGGAGGATTCCCTAATTTGGGGGGGGGTATGGTGTTTTGGGATCACTTATTTTTGGTGGGGAAAAGACTGCTGATGGCCAGCCAGGGCAAGTTGCCCGAAACTAAGTACTCACTCGGAGGCCTGCCCAGATGCAGCCGAGGTGGCCGAGGTGAGGGAACGGGGCAGAGAGCGACGTCTGGGTGGCGGAAGGCTTGCTCACTTCTAACAAGCGTTGTGTGGGGTTTGGGTGCCATGCTTTTCAGCGACCAGAGAGTAGGCAAGGAGAGAACAGAAACATCAAACAGGAGGGAGAAGAGGGTCTACTGGGAAGGCTGAAAGGTGTTCACCTTTGAACAGAAGAGACAAAGTCGATTAAACATGCTTACTTTCTTCAAATACACAAGAGAGACTTCTACAAGTAGGTGTTGAATTGTTCTGACAAGCAAATATGAGAAAGCAGTCTATGTAGAGGCAAGATGGATTTTTGTCATCTTTTCATTCACACTGCAACAGGGAGCTGATAATAGTTGACCAGTGACAATGTTTGTGTGCTGAATGGGGCCCTTGGAGCTCTTAGACAGTAAGAAAAAGAAAGAGGACGCCCCCCTTCTCCCCCACCCCAGGTGGATGAGCCACCTCTGACCTCCAGAGGTCAGAGGTCCTGGGCACACCCTCCCAATTCCTTGTGTTTGATGCTGAGTTGTGGTTCTGGTTTACAGACTATCAAGAGTAAAGTGAGTTCTTCGCATAATATAAAAGAGTTTGGCCCCAGTGAAAGGATTGATGGATTTTACAATTTGATAATAAAACTCTCTGAAGAGAGAACGCCCTCCCAGAGGTGGGAGATTAATTTTATCTTTTTTCTCAACGGCTTCTCTTCCCCTGCATCTTGCCTGTTCTTTTCTCCTACTTGCTCGACAGAGGGCGAAGAGGTTTTCAAGAGAGCACCATAAACATGAGGACTTTGACTCCAGAACAGGAAAGGACAGGCCAGGCTGATGGCAAGCTCACAACAGCCTGCCAACAGAGGTCACCCTGGCAGCCTCATGATGTGATGTCACCTCCAGCCTCATGCCCTGGCCATCTCCTCATGTCCAGGCAGCTTAGCTCTGACCCTAAAGTTCCCGGGAAGGTGTCAGAGTTGTGTCTGGTTGGTCTGAAACATGACTCTGAGCTGGCCAGGTCCCCTTCCCCAACCTGCTGCCCTCACACATTTCAGAGTTCGCTTGGTCTGAAATAGACTGAAGAGAGAAGGAAGAAATGATCTGGACACTAAATCTCCTTTTAACCCCAGCAGTCTGCTTCATGGTCTCGGTGCCTTTTGCTCATGTGGGAAGCAGTGGAAAAGGGCACTGGGGGTGCAGGACATCACCATTTGGACTGAATTGGATTACAAATGCTCTATCAAGCTATACCAACAAATCAGGACAAGCATCACACCAAGATCTTGAATCACAGGCTGTTTACCTACTATAATGCCCATGGCAGACAAATGCTAAATACCACAAAGTACCTGAGACAAAAAAAGAAAGGAAGGAAGGAGGGAAGGAGGGAGAAGAATAAAAAGAAGCCTGGGGTCCTGGCATTCGGAGATTCCCAGGGACACAGGCAGAGCGTCTGGGTGCAGGGTGGCTGCGCCCCAACGTCCGGTGGCCTCTGGCTTCACATCTCGGCTTCTGAGGAGCAGACCTCCGCGGCAGTGATGGCGATCCCGATGGCCAGGCTGCCGTTGTCAGAGAAGAGCTGGGCCAGCGAGGTGTTGAGGACGAGGCAGTCCCCGTCGGTGATCACCGAGTCCACGCACTCGAGAACAGACCTGGGCGTGGCCTCCCATTTGAGACGCCGATGGTTTCTGTTGAGCTCCAGGCGATAGGTGAAGCAGTCGGCCTGGGTGGGGGTCCCGATCAGCATCATGGTGGCAAAGAACTGGGGGTGCCCTTCATGCCTCTCCTGTTTCCTAAGCACCAGCAGAAAGTGGTGGCCCAGGCAGGAGTGCATGATGATCCAATCGGCTGGTGCGGGGAGGTGCATGTCCGTGGCCAGGAAGACGATCTCCGCTCCCTGAAGGATGTCAACCCTGTGCATCTGCCGCAGGTGGGGCACCACCACCTCCAGGTGGCCTTCCCACTGGCAGGAGAACAGGGGGCACATGCAGGGTGTCACCTGGGCGGCGTGCAGCCCCGCCTCCTGGTGGTGGAGGTGGTGCGGGCGAGCGTGGTGGCGAAGGTGCGGGTGGGGGCGGTGATGGCGGTGGTGGTGGGTGAGGTGGTGAGGGGGGAAGTTGCCTTGCTCTGGTGTGCTCTGAGTGACGGCTCGGCAGCTGGACACATACTGTGGGAGAAAGAGCAGAGGGTTAGTGGCTGAGGCCAGTCTCTCAGCCTCGCTGAGACTCCCCGGGTATGCCAAGTGTTAAAAGCAGACTCCCCAGTGCAGGTAGAGAAAGCTTGCTTGCTTGCTTTCTCTCTCTCTTTCTTTCCTCCTTCCCTTCCTTCCTTCTTTCCTCCCTCCCTCCCTGCCTTCCTTCCTTCCTTCCTCTCTTTCTTTCTTTCTTGAGGGGAGGGGGAGGGCCAGAGGGAGAGGGAGAGAGAGAATCTCAAGCAGACTCCATGCTGAATGTGGAGCCCGACCCGGGGCTCAATCTCACAACCCCGAGAACATGACCTGAGTTGAGATCAAGAGTCTGACACTTAACCGACTGAGCTACCCAGGCACCCAGAGAAAGCTTTATTTCTTAAAAAATGAGAGGACTGCCAGACTGTTTTCCAAAGTGGCAGCACCATTTTATAATTCTCATCAGCCATGTAAAAGGATTCCAACTTCTCTACATCCTTGCCAACACTTGTGATTATCTGATTTGACAAATACTTTTATGAGGCACAATTAATTGTTTTGAGTGTTTTACCAGATTTAGATGCTGAGACTGTTAAGTCTTCTCCATGATATTTCATTTTGGTATAGAATCTAAATTTTTTCCAATTAAAAATAGAAGCTCCTGCAAAAGATTCTTCCCTGAAAAAAGAGATTTTCCAAATCTAATATTACATTAAAACAAAACAAAACAAAACAACCCAAAAATTGAGGTAGATGCCTTGGGTGGTTGAGATTCTGAAAATTCAGTCCAAGAAAATACAATATTTATGTCTTGCTGATTCTTTAATAAGATACTGAAACAAATAGGCTATTTCCCCCCTCAACATGCATTATGATGGTCACTAGTCATAAAGGACAAAAAAAACATTTTTTTTTTCTTTTTTGATACTGTTAATATTTTTGTGCAGGCATTGGAGGCCAATGGAATTTCTGCCTCCCTTTCTTATCACTGCTATTATTTTTAGAACAAAGTTTCAGTAAGTGCCCATCTGTCCTTCCCGTGGGGCCAGCGGTTGTGCCATCTTGGGTGCCCTTCTCCTGGGTCCTAAGGTGGGGTGCAGAGCTGATTAGGTACAGTTGGGCCACCGTTCCCAGGGAGGGGGCCTCACTCTGATTCCTGGGGCTCTACCTCACCAGCCACATTTCTGTCCTGTTCCAGGCTCACTGCTAGAGGGCAGCTTCCCGGGGGCTCAACTCGAGGCACCCTCCACCCTCAGACTCTCCTGACCTTCTGCTCCTCGTGGCGGTGTGTCCACAAATACCCTCAAAACCACCAGGAGCTGTGATGGCCCCTTCTGATCAGGTATCAGTAGACATTTATTGAATACTTTCTATGGCCAGGCCAGAGGGTGCTAGGGGTACAGCTGTGAGCAAAATAAACTGCGTTTCTGGCTGTGGGGGGCACAGACATTAGCGTGCATATCATTAACTGTGATTTTCGCAAGGGTCCTCCGTGTGACATGAGGACTATGATTCATATATTTCAGCTGAAGAAACGGGCTCCCATGGTAATGGTCCCAAGGTCACAAGGCTCGTAAGCGAAAGACTGGGGTCTGTTTGCACGCCTCCTGACTCTGCACACAGAGGCTCTGCTCCCCCTTCCCTCCCTTCGGTTATCCCTGCCTCCAGCACCGGGTCCCTTCTGCCCTAGCTCTCCAAGCCCTTTCAGAAGGACGACAGGTGCCTTTGGGCCCTTGCCTCCTCCCCTCATTTCCTTCCCTCCCCAGTGTGCAGAGGGTGAGGGCAAAGGTCTGCCTTGCCAACTCTGGCCACGGCGGCTGCCAGAGTTTCTAGCTGCCTGGACTCCGAGGAGGGCTAATGGTGGGGGCCAGGCTAGCTTTCCTCTCTTTAGGGCATCCGGGGCACCCCATCCACTGCAGATACACACCCACATGGTGTGCTGGGATGGTCACCGTGTGGCCGAGGTGACCTGGAGGCAGGTTGGGGGTCAAACTAGCTCTGCTCCCGGAGTGGTCAGCTCCAGCTGCCGGTTTCCGTGCTCTGCCCCGGGAACGCAGCAGACCTGGACTGGGAGCTCCCGGGGCCCTTTCAGTAGTTCTCGCCCTGTTCCTGGACGGAAGCTAACGGGCAGCCTGCTGTCACCAATCCTGCATGCCTACCAGGCTCATGAAGGACTAGTCTGTGTTCCAGAATCCTGCTAGTGATGAGCCTGACCTACCCTTTAGTGTTAAATGTAGGAAGGGAACTAACTAGTATATAGCCTCTACTAAGAATTAGGCAACAAATAAGTTGGTGTTTTTTTATGTAATTATTTCATTTAATTTTTCACAGAAAAGATCAATTCCCCTTAAAAAAAAAAATGACATTAAATCTGGCTTAGTTCCTACCTGCCTGCTGGTGGCACGTACCATTTGGTCAGTGGGCGAGGGGGGAGTTCCTCCCACCCCTTGGGGTTGTACAAAAGCCCAGGGCTGACACACTCTGTCAACCAGGGGCCAGCCCCCCCCACCCCCCTGCAGGTCCAAAGCTTATGGTTCTAGCAGCTTCAGGCCTGGCAGCTAAGCTCAAGGCGGCCTGGTCTCGGCCTCTCATGGAAAGCCCCAAGCACTGTTCCCTCTCCCAGCCTCTGAGAAGCTCCTCTCTTTCACTTTGTCTTTACAAAAATCACTAGAGAAACGTACTACATTTGTCTTACAGATGAAGAAACACAGAGAGGTTGAGTCCCTTGCCCAAAGTCACGGGGCTCGTAAGGGGAGCAGTTGGGAATAGAGCCCAGATCAGTCAAAGGTGACACAGATCACAGACTGGAAGTCAGCAGACTTTGGTCTTTTTCACTGTTGAGTTGTCCAGCAGGCCTGATTAGGTCAGTTTCCCTATCAAAATATTTCTCTTCAAGGGTTGCTTGGGGATCAAATGAAATAATGCCTGTAAGACAGCTTTAATAATGACATCAAGTATTACATCAAGATGGCATTTCCATTTCGATGTCGTTTTGGGGGGTTACTCTGGTGGCCTTCGGCCTCAGTCCGTGCCTGCCTCTGTCTGTCCTGGTCCGCTGATCTTTGCACTTGCGGAGCACCCTGGGCTGAGCATAGGCCAACATCAGGGCTTAGAGACCCCAACATCACACTTGCCCTGGGGTCTCCTGTCACAACACCGACCCATGACAACAGACCATCCGGAAATTCCCATCTCAGAAATGGGTCTCTGAGCTCATTATTCTCCACAAGCCCTTCTCCAGATCCATTTTCCGTTTCCTGCAACCTGCTCTGTTCAGCTAATATCAGACACGTGAAATCAGAGTAGGACGGGCTGGGGAAGAAATACCTTCGCCTCCCTTTCTTCCCTCCCTCCAAACTCCTGCCAGCCATTGGCCAAACCCAATCAGAGACCCGCCAGAAGGGAGCCCAGAGTTGCACTCAACAAGGACCTGCTCCCTTTGAAAATGGTGCTGGGTGAGAGGCGCAGGTGCAGAGGGAATGCCCACCTGTACGCAAATGTCTCAGTTCCCTCCTCTGGGATATTTGCTGATCTGGCCAGGCTGGGCCTCCTGGGCTGAAATTTGACTAGGCTGATAGAGGGGGAGACAGATGCATGCCTACAATTCATTTAGCCATTTGATAAAAACGTGTGATGCAGCCCCTAATATGTGCAAGGGGCTGAGAATCCCCCACAGAGTAAGACCCGAGTTCCTGCCTCTGTAGCTCACTATGAGTTTGTATAATATAGAATGCAGGGGCACCTGGGTGGCTCAGTCGTTAAACGTCTGCCTTCGGCTCAGGTCATGATCCCAGGGTCCTGGGATTGAGCCCCGCATCGGGCTCCCTGCTCCGCGGGAAGCCTGCTTCTCCTTCTCCCACTCCCCCTGCTTGTGTTCCCTCTCTGGCTGTCTCTCTGTCAAATAAATAAATAAAATATAAAAAAAAAATAATATAGAATGCAAAACTTCAGGATGTGGGGGGGGCGCTAGGGCAAAGTAGGGGAGGTAGCTCTTCTAGTCAGGGTGGAGCGACATTTACACTGGGCAAGGTGTGAAGAGTGGATGCTCTAACAAAAGAGGTCAAAGGTTTGCTGATGGGGCAAATAGCAGAGAGGACAAGTCCCGTGTGGCCGGGTAGATGGAGGCCGGTAGAGATGGAGCAGAGGTGGCCATAGTGCTGGAGGGCTATCCGAGGCACCAAGATGGCACCAGTCTCAGGGGAAGGCATTAGGGGGCCCAAGAGACACAGCTCTATGCCTTAGAGGGCTCCTGTGGGCCCAGGATGGGGCCAGTGGCCAGTCCCCACGCTTGTCCAACCAGAGGACCTTAGCAATGGCCATTCCACGTGGACTCTCTGTTACTTCCTTTTGGCCTCATCTTCCACGAGCCTATTTTCATTTTTTAATTGCTGCGGAGAGACAAAGCCGGGGGGCATCATCCAAAGGGACCGAAGTGAATGACTATGGAAATAAAGCATGATATTATAAACTCAGCGAGCTCGTGCCCTTGCTGTGCCCCAAGAAGGCTCTAAGAATAAACACCGCCTTAATTCTTCACCTCGTCCTGCTCCATTTTCTGATGTAAAATATGTTTCATTGAAACGATCTTTGGGTGAGTGAGGTCACAGGGCTTCTGGCAGGGAGAAAAGGATTCTTTTAATTGGCAAAATGCTAATCGTTTTGGAAAATGAATTCTAATCTTCCCGTCTAATACAGTGGATGTGTGAGTAATTACTTTCCTTCACTAAACTGTTAATGCAACATTAGTGATTACACTAATTAAAACTAATGAACTCTTACAGACTGATAAACTCCTCAGTCAGACAGCGGATGCCTTCCTCCCATTGGCTGTATTTAACTTCCCATTTGGAAGAGAGATCTTGAATTAACCTTTAGAATAATGTGCAAAATTGGGTTTAGAAGTGTTGGGCTTTATGGACTGGGTATAATTCTTTCCCCAAGCATTAGTGAGACCATTTCCACTGAGGGTGTAATTGAATTTAAAAAACCGCCTTCTTTAA